AGTTTTTTGATAAAATGTAAACATGGTTCAAATGTTCATGAGACATTTACAAGTTAAGTTTAAGGGTATGAGGGTCACACTCATATAATAAAAGACATCCATGACATATATAATCACACTAACTGCAATGTGTAAGAAAAATAAGAAAAATTTTAAATTAAAAATTATCCCCCCCCTTCTCCTCTTGCCAATTACTAGTAGATTTGGAAATGTAACTGGTAGACAGAAGATGTTACTAATCTATGAATATTAGAGAAATGGATTTGAAACTGAATTACTAAACCCTGTAACTGTCTCAAAATGTACAATAATAAGACAGGCTACAGCAAAATGTACATAAAGATCAAGTACCTAGTGTTTTAACTTTCTGACACAAACACTCCAGAACATGAATAGGACAAAGAGGAAATTGAGAATAAATGTATATGCCTCAATTGATTCAAGAACTACTTACTAAATAACAACTCTATGTGCCAGGGTCTCTAAAACCATTACTCTGGCAATCTGAAGCTCTAATCTGCTGTCTGAAATCGTGAGTATCCTCTCCAGTTTCCTAATGTCACCCTCAGTGACTTCTGCTTGTGGAGTGTGGAGAAACTCACAAGCCCTAGAAGGACATCAACAGTGGCGGAGTTAAACATCACAGTATATCGGCTCACGTGAATTTCACCGGTATGTGTCCTCGGGGACACATGGAATGTGTCCTTAAGCTCCATGATTTAATATTCCTACCCTAAATGTCACCGCAAATAAACACACTGGTTAAGGAATGTGCATTGATCAACTCTTCTTGAACAACTGTACCTTTAACACTTCATTGTTTTACTGACATTCTATGCAGCTACACTGATTTTAAAATTAGATAAAGATATAATATATTTTCCTCAAAGGAAAAAACAAAACCGATTTTTATTTATATGACCCTGAACTAATTTTTACTTTATTTTATTTTTTTATTTTATAAAAAATATTTTATTTATATGACCCTGAACTAATTTTTTTCTCATGTTCCTCAACCAAAAAGTTTTTCCATTCTTTTCTCATTGTTTGAAATTTTTTAAAATAACCTAGAAAAGACTGATGCTATCCATTTTATATAAAATGGATCTTTAAGTGGATGTACAATCCTTTTAAAGATAATTTATGACACAGCAGAGTGTTTCCGAACTCAGGATAGAAATAATATATCATCTGTTCCCAATGCTTTTCTATTAAAAAAAA